GACTCCCAACTGCTCCTTTTTTTCTTTCTTTTTTTTTATTCTGAGCCAGATTTAGCTCTGAGGCTCCAGCTCTGAGGACTCTGCTGCTGAAAGCGGGTATCTGGTTTGTTTGGGCTCTATAATCGAAACACTGTTTCAACTCCAGCTCTGAGATCCTGGCTGGCTGAAAGCAGGTTTCTGGTGTTTTGTTTAGCTTCTATATTTGTAACAATGTTTCAAACTGCAAGTTCAGAGGCCAGCAAGGCAGGCGGGGAAAGTTGGTTTCCTCAGTCACTGAAGCAAGCAAGCCTCATGTTAGCTTTAAGCTTCCTGGCTGCCGGCCGCCATCTTGGCTGGCATTTAATTTGCATATCACCCTGATTAGCCAATGGGAAGTGTAGCGGTCGTACGCTAATTACCATGTTTCTCTTTTATTAGCTAGGATTTGTTTTTCTTCTCATGGTAGGCTCCTTAAGGGTAGGGTCTCAGTCATTTAAGATTTATATTTATAGCACTAAATATAGTGTCGACACTTTTTAAATGAATTTTGAATGTGCAGATATTATACGAGTCAGTATCCAGTGGTTATAAATAAATTTGGAAACCTGGATTCTGATGTCTGATATTTTGCTTTGTATCATTCAGGCAATTTTTTCAGCTACTCTGAGTCTAGTCTTGTGAGTGGGTTGGAGGAGAGAAAACTGGTCAATAGGCAGCCACTATGCATATAAATATGTATATATGTCACTGTGGAATTTAAATATCGCTTTAATCCTTAAGCTATTATTTAATAGGTTTAAGATTGAAATAGAGGTCTCTGTTGCCATTGTGTTTGGATTTCTAAAACTAAGATTTTTGTTCTGAATAATAAAGAATTTTATTTTTATTTTAAAGTAAACTTTCACCTTAAATACATGTGATACAAGACTTTGAATTGCATAAACATAAAAAGTCTTGCTAATACTTAAGAGGATTTTAAAATATTAAGATACAATAAGAGTAAATGGTATTAATTTGATGTCATTAGTTTCCCTAGTGATAAGTGAATTAAAATTCTATGAATATCAAGGCTTATGGTACCCCTATAAGAATACACCTATAGCCCTAACTGGTTTGGCTCAGTGGATAGAGCGTCGGCCTGCGGACTGAAAGGTTCCAGGTTCGATTCTAGTCAAGGGCATGTACCTTGGTTGCAGACACATCCCCAGTAGGGAGTGTGCAGGAGACAGCTGGTCAATGTTTCTCTCTCATCGATGTTTCTAACTCTCTATCCCTCTCCCTTCCTCTCTGTAAAAAATCAATAAAATATATATATATATTTTTTAAAAGAATGCACCTATAGATCAATGAAATAGACTTGGGAGCCCAGTATAAACACCTACACTCAAGGCCAATTAATTTTCAGCAAGGTTTCCAAGACAGTTCGACATGGAAAAATAGCCTTTTCAACATATGGCTCTGAGACAACTGGATATCTACATGCAAAAAAATTGAAATTGGACTATTACTTCACATCATATGTAAAAATTAAATTGATTGTATCAAAGACCTAAAAATAAATGCTAAAACTATAAAACTCTTAGAAGAACACATAGGAATAAATCTTTGTGTCCTTGGGTTAGGTAATGGTTCCTTAGATATGACACTAAAAAATACAAGCAACAAAAGGAAAAATAGGTAAATTGTATTTCATCAAAATTAAAAAGTTTGTGCCTCAAAGGGCATCTTCAGTAAAGTGAAAAGACAACTCAGAATGGGGGAGAATATTTCCAAATTATATATTGATAAGGGACTTGTATCTGGAATATATAAAGATCTCTTACAACTCAATAATTAAAAGACAGGATTTGAGTAGATTTTTCTCAAGAGAATTTATTATAGTCAATAAGCACATGAAAAGTTGTTCAAATTTTGAGCCATTAGAGAATTGCAAACCAAACTGGAATGACATATCACTTCACACCACTATAGAATGGTTAGAATAAAAAAGAAAAAGAAAAAGAAAAAGAAAAAGATGGCAAAAAAAAAAAGTTGGCAAGGATGTTGAGAAATTAGAACCCTCAGACATTGCTAGTGGGAATATAAAATGTTGCAGTAACTTTGGAAAACAGTTCAGTAGTTCCTTGGAAAATTAAACATAGAATCACTATATAACCTGGCAATTCCACTGCTAGATTTATACCAACACAATTGAGCACATGTCCATAAAAAAATGTGTACATCAATATACACATAGCAGCAGCATTCTTAATAGCCAAACATGGAAACAATCCAAATGTCCACCACTGATGAATGGATAAACAAAATATAGTATTTTCATAAGTATAATATTTTTTAGTCATTAAAAAGGAATTGATACATGCTAAAATACTTATGTGTGCTGCTATAAACAAATATAGATGAATCTTGAAAAACATAATGCTAAGTAAAAGAAGCCAGATACAAAAGGCCACGTATTGTATGAGTCCACTTACATGAAATGCCCAGAATAGGCAAATGTATAGACAAAAATGTAGATTAGTAGGGCAGTGAAACTACTCTGTATGATGCTATAATGGTGGATATATGTCATTTTAAATCTGTCCAACCCCATAAAAGGTACAACATCAATAGCGAACCCTAATGTAAATTATGGACTTTGTGTAATAATGATGTCAATGTAGTTTCATCAATTGTAATGAATATACTGTTCTGGTGGGGGATTTTTAAAAAAATTAATTTCCCCCCTTTATTTTTCCCCATCAGCATTTATCACACACACACACACTCACACACACACACACTAGAGGCCTGGTGAATGAAATTCGTGTATGGGGAGGGTCCCTAGTCCTGTCTGGCGATCAGGGTCGATATGTGGGGCGACTGGCGGGGCGATCAGGAGGCCCCCACTGGCACCTGCCTTGGCCAGCCTGGGGCCTGCAAGCTGGGGGCAGCTCCTGCATTGAGCATCTGCCCCCTGCTGATCAGTGTGCATCATAGCGACCGGTTGTTCTGCTGTTCGGTTGATTGCATATTAGGCTTTTATTATATGGGATATCCTCTTTCATTTCCATGCACCCTCCTCCACCCCTCAGTCACCACACTGTTGTCTGTGCCTATGAGTTCTTTCTCTTTTTGTTTTCTTTTTTTGCTTATTGATAATGGGAAAGGCTATGCATATTTGGGGTAGGGGGTGTATTGAAAATCTCCATACCTTCTGTTTAATACTGCTATGAACCTAAAACTTCTCTTAAAAAAAAAAATGTAGCCCTGATTGGTTTGGCTGAGTGTATAAAGTGCCGGCCTGCAGTTTGAAGAGTCCCAGGTTCGATTCTAGTAAGGGCACATGCCGGGGTTGGGGGCTTGATCCCCAGTGGGGGGCATGCAGGAGACAATCAGTAATTCTGTCTCATCATTGATGTTTTTCTCTCTCCCTTTCCCTTCCTCTCTGAAATCAATAAAAATATATTTTAAAGAAAAATCTCATAAAACTTTTTAAGTAGACTAGTGATTGCCAATAGTACCTGGCAGATGGGGAAAGGGGAATGGGTTGTGGATGCGAATGAGTACAGAATTTTTGTTGTTTTGCTTTTTTTTTTTTTTTTTACTTTTTGTTATAATAAACCACCAGTTATGTAACACAATGTATTCAAAATATTAAATATATTTAAATAATATTTACATAAAGTTTACATAATGAGAAATATAATGTAATTTAAACACAGTGCAGTGGTTTTCATATGTGTACCCATAGAATGTTTAATAAAGAAAGAAAATCAGTTTAAATCATGTTTGTATATATACAGATTTGTTTTTGTATATATATCTCTCCTGACTTCAGTAATTTTCAGAGTTCTAAAGTAATACAACAAAAGTATTGGCATACTTTGCTTTCCAAAAAAAAAAAAAAAAAGGAACTTGCCATATATGAGATTTTTTAAAAAATAAATCTTTATTTTTCAGATTATTACAGTTGTTCCTCTTTTTCCCCCATAGCTCCCCTCCACCAGGTTCCCACTCCACCCCATGCCCTTAACACCCCCCCACACACACTGTCCTTGTCCATAGGTGTACGATTTTTGTCCAGTCTCTTTCCACACTACCTACACCCCTTCCCCCCCGAGAATTGTCAGTCCATTCCCTTTCTATGCCCCTGATTCTATTCTATTCACAAGTTTATTCTGTTTGTCAGATTTTTTATTCACTTGATTTTTAGATTCATTTGTTGATAGATATGTATTTGCTGTTCATAATTTTTATCTTTACCTTTTTCTTCTTCCTCTTCTTAAAGAATACCTTTCAGCATTTCATATAATACTGATAAACTCCTTTAGCTTTTGCTTATCTGTGAAGCTCTTTAACTGACCTTCAATTCTGAATGATAGCTTTACTGGTTAAAGTAATCTTGGTTGTAGGTTCTTGGTATTCATCACTTTGAATATTTCTTGCCACTCCATTCTGGTCTGCATAATTTATGTTGAGAAATCAGCTGACAGTTATATGGGTACTCCCCTGTAGGTGACTGACTGACTTTCTCTTGCTGCTTATAATATTCTCTCTTTGTCTA